TATAAAACCTCAAACCAAACCAACCAAACCACAACATGCAAAAGTGATGGATTTAAGATCATTTCATGGTTTGCCTATAAATTAATCACAGTATGTGTGAAGTTGATAGGATTTTCAGAATGTCTGTTCTGCAGCGTCATGCTGCTGCACTAGGTAAACCATCTCCCCTGGACCAACTAGGAGCACGGGTGGCCTGCCGCTGCCCCTTCCCTGCTGATGGCCCCAAGAATCCTGTCCTGGGCTCCCTCTTTGTGTCTCACAGGCTGGCTGCTGTGCACCAGTCTCCCCTTGTCACACGGGCTCAGAGTCGGGAAGGCAGGGTTCCCACCAGAACGAGCCCGCCCACCCCACGCCATGCCAGGAAGGGCAGTCTGGCTGGGATCCCAGGCGGTGAACAACCTGCACAACTGTGTGTGGTGGCCTGTCAGGAGGCGGAACAACGCTGCCTTACCCCCCTCTCTCCCACATTTTCCTGGAGACGGCATTTCCAGAGCTCCGTGTCCCTCCAACTTTTTCTCACTCAGCCCAGATGCTGTAGAGTAATGGGGAAACTTCCAGACGTTACTCATCTGCGTGTGACACATTGCCGTGAGACGGCCGAAGGTCTGTGTTTGGTTTCCATGGTGAAACGAAACAAGGGAAAAGATAAAACCCCTGTGGCCCTCAAGGGGGGCTGAGGAACTCTGCTGTGCAGGGGTGGGGGCTGCAGAAGTGTCCTATGACCCTGCTGCTGGGGGTTCCTGGCTGCTCGGTGCAGGCCCCTCCTGGCCACCTCTCCCACCCCAAAAGGCTCATCAGCTCCAGTGGGCCTGTGTTCTGTCCCCAGCTGCGGCTGGAAAGGCTTTGTCTGCAGACACCTGTCTGCATTAAGCATATGCCCTGGGAGGAACAGGCGTGAAGGTGAGAGATGCGGATTCCGAGCCACACAGGCAAGCCCTTCTCCTGTCCTTCCAGCTATTTTCTGCCCCACAGAGTCAGTCACTCAATCACTGGGTCACGGCTCACAGCGGACCACAGCCCAGGTCCAGCTTGGTGCCTGGACGCCAGCAGCAGAGCCAAGTGAGCAGCATAGCCTGGGGACGGGAAAAGGCGGGTCCAGAGGGGCACTGAGGGGCTGCCAGGGTTAGAACCCATGTGTCTCCACTCCAGGGGCAGAGCTCGGGACTGGGCCCTGAGGGCACCATCACTGGGGCAGGATTCATGTCCTTTGAGGGACAGTGTGTCTGCCCCCTTCTTCCATGTGGGGACAGTGTCGGTCCCCTCCTGGACACAACAGGTATCATTCTAGATGCAGACAGGCCCTCCACCTGCTGTCTGCTAACTCACCAGATGCCACCCTGGCCATGCCCTGTGGCTGTGATGCCAAGGGCGTCTCTAGAAACGGCCCTTTCTCCCCTGTGGTGCAAGTTGAGAGCCAGGAGCTGGAGAAAGCATCACTGCGATATGAACACTTGGCAAAAGCCAATCAACATCATCTCCTACGACACGGGAGACATGCAGTTATCTCTCACACCCATGGGTGCACCTCCACGCAGCCCTGCTAAGCACATCTGGAAGGCCTCGGGCTGGGCACCAGGCCGGGGCGCTAAGATGCCATGCTGGGTGGCTGAGGTCTCCATCCGCCTCAGCTTCTGAGTCCAGTTCCCTGTGAATGCACACCCTGGGGGGCACCAGGGGTGGCCCACAGGGGACTCAGAGTTCCTGGCTCCTGGCTTCTGCCCAGCCCAGCCTTGGCTGCTGTGGGCATTTGCAAGGGAGAGCCAGCAGGTGAAAGCTCTGTCCACTCTCTCTGTGCCTCTCAGACCTTCAGAGAGGCTGGGAGGGCGAAGCACCAGCAGGTGCCTCAGTGCAGGGGCCGGGCTGGGGGTCAGGCTGCAGGCCTCTCTACTGCTTGAGCCAGCAGAGAGAAATTGGAAATGCACTTGGTGTTAACGTTGGTCTGCTAATGAATGGAAACTGAAGTTTGGAAGGAGCACAGAGCTGTGATGTGACGAAGGCAGAATCCAGCGGAGGAATATTTAGGAAGTGAGGACATCGAGCAGGACTGAATCACACCACGGTTCGGGGTGAAGCATCAGGCGGAGAGCAGAGAGGAGGAAATAAAACGCCTCCACTTCCTGGCTCAGGAGTTGAACAGGTTCCAGGATTCAACCTCCCACTTCTCCTGCTTGTGTTACGCTGTTGTGTGAACAACTTTCGGGAACCAACGTGGCAGCCATCACCCTGCACAGTGAGGCCAGCCCGGCCGGGCTGGGTGTGCTGCCCCAGGGTGCTCTCTCTCATCCACTGGTTTGTCGTTTTTCTCTGTTCTGTATGGGACCAGTCTTCCCTGAGTCAGAGGGCCCCGACACCTCACTGGTGTCTGCTGGTCCTCCCGCACTGACAGACTGCCGAGAGGAAGAGATTTTTCTCAAACGCTGGGTTACTGTGGAAGATGTTTTATAACCTTTTGCTGTTTTACAGTAACAATTAATTTCCTGACAAAACTGGAAACTTCCAGGCTTCTTTGTGAGAATCCCACAGTTTGAGGGCTATCACTGACTCGGACACACTAGAGAGGACACGCCTGTGGTCACCACGCCTGTGGTCACCACGCCTGCCACTGCAGCTGTCGCTTCCGACCATCTTCCTCCCACACAGGACTTCTGCAGTTAACACCTGCATGAGTTGGGGGGTGGGCAACAAGCCACAGGAGCAGTTTTCCCAGCAATCAGCTGGCTCAGAAGCCGCTCCCTCCCAGCACGCCATGTCCAGGGCAGCCCCCAGAAAGACCTACGTTTGTGACTAAGGGGCTGGTGATCCTAGGTGATCTCAGAAGGGGGAGGGGCAAGACAGGTGCTGCGTGTGCAAACACCTGAGGGCACCCCAGGCTTCCTCCCAACAGAACCCGATCTTAGGAGTCGCTCCGCCTAGAGAACCCAGCCCAGCCCGCATGCTGGTTCTGGCCACAGGGCTGGAGACAGGAGCAGAGCTAGAGCCAGGGGACAGGGGACAAGGAGGGTAGGGGGCAGAACCTGACCCAGAGGCAGTGCTCAGGCCCGGGGCGGTGGCACGGAGGCTGACGCTGCCGGGGATGCCCACGGCCTGTATCAGAGGCCCTGCTCTGATGGCCAGCCCTGCTTCTGCTCCCAGCTTCCTGCTCACCCTCGCCACTGGAGGCAGCAGAAGGCCAGCTCCTGGCTCTGGTGTGGTCCAGCCCAGATGTTGTGGACATCTGGGGAATGATCAGTGTCTCTCTACCTTCCAAATAAAAATAACTAAATACAAATTTGTTATCCATCTCTTGAATATCCATCTTTTGAAAATAACTAAATAAAAAATTGTTATTGTTATCTATCTCTCGGCAGTCTGTCAGTGCGGGAGGACCAGCAGACACCAGTGAGGTGTCGGGGCCCTCTGACTCAGGGAAGACTGGTCCCATACAGAACAGAGAAAAACGACAAACCAGTGGATGAGAGAGAGCACCCTGGGGCAGCACACCCAGGTCATCCACGGAGGGAGGCAATGAGGGAGTGAGGGTGACAGGGACCTCCCCACCTGTCCCAGCGACAGCAGTGGGACAGAGCAGAGCTGCTGAGGCAGGCATGGGCACAGACATCAAACCCCTGTGTGTGTGGTGATACCAGATACAGATGAAGAAGCAGGGCTTTCATTCCCGCTCAGGTACAAGGGAGGAACGTGGGCTCCAGACCTGGGCATGGACGGCCATCGGGGGTACTCCCAGGGGCAGGAAAGGCCGTGAGACACGGGACAATGATGACACTTTCTGGCTGCATCCATGACAGGCCCTGGAGTGTGCAGTACACTGCGTGCAGGCCTGCTGCGCCAGTGACCTGTACCTCCTTAGAGCCAATTTGCTTTCGTCCCCATGACCGGATTGCACAGAGGAGGAAGTGGGCACGCCCCAAGCTCCTCCCCACACCTATCCCTGCCTCTTTTCCCAGGAGACTGAAGCAAGTACAGAACCAGTGGGAGGGTACACGTGCCCCACCACAGGAAGCAGGCAGAATCGGTAGCCTCTGAGCACCCCTGAATCCATGACGGATTCACCTGGCAGGCAGGGAGTCAAGTGCAAGAAACATGAACGAGCTCATAGCACAGGGCTGGCCAGGCCCAAGCAGTCCTCCAGCCCCATCCCCTGCCCTCACAGATGTCACTTCACTCCTTGCTCCAGGCACGGCCTTGCTGTGGCTGTGCGAGGGACACAGGGATAGAAGGTCACACACGTACTGGCAACACTCGTCAGACAATGCAAATCTCAGCCAGCTGCAGAGCAAGGGGTAGGAGGCACATCCAGGACTCGGTCCTTCTACATCCTGAATCCTGCCTACGCCTGACCTACAGTGCAGGAAGCACTGGGAGGTGCTTCTGCCCCCAGTTGACTGGGCCTGGAACCTGCCACACCTACTGAGCACTGCACACAGAGCATTCACAAAGAACCACAAGGTAGGGACCAACACGGGGAGAGACCCACAGGCTGGATACTAAAGCTAGGTACTGAGGCTGGGTGCGCACAGGGGGAGAGACCCGCAAGGCTGGGTACTGAGGCTGGGTACTCACACAGGCAGAGACCCGCAAGGCTGAGTACTGAAGCTGGGTATACACAGGGGGAGAGACCCGCAAGGCTGGGTACTCACACAGGCAGAGACCCGCAAGGCTGGGTACTGAAGCTGGGTATACACAGGGGGAGAGACTTGCAAGGCTGAGTACTGAAGCTAGGTACACACAGGAGGAGAGACCTGCAAGGCTGGGTACTAAGGCTGGGTACTCACACAGGGGGAGAGACCCGTAAGGCTGAGTACTGAAGCTGGGTACACACAGGGGGAGAGACTTGCAAGGCTGAGTACTGAAGCTAGGTACACACGGGGGAGAGACCTGCAAGGCTGGGTACTGAGGCTGGGTACTCACACAGGGGGAGAGACCCGCAAGGCTGAGTACTGAAGCTGGGTACACATAGAGGGAGAGACCCGCAAGGCTGGGTACTGAGGCTAGGTACTCACACGGGGAGAAGTCCTCAAATTCTGGGTCAATGTTGTGCAGTAGCTCTACTCTGGGCGATGGGCGTCCTTCACTGGAAGAGAAATATTTTGGAAATAATTAAATTCCTCTCTCAAATTAGCTTTTTTAAAAAATACTTGCATTCTTACTCTTGTTGCCAAGAACAAAGCTGTGAGCTGCTTCAGTGGATACAGCGCTTCGCAGCCCCTGTGCTCCCCGCACTCAGCGTCAGAGTCGAACTCATGATGTTCAATGTCACCGAGTCCAGCCCCTTTGCAGCAGGCACCATCCACCCCAGGGAGATGTGCACTTGGTTGACCCCATAGGCTGCCTCCTGAACTCATGCAAGGAAACCCAAAGTATCCGCCCACACGGTGGCCCAGCAGACCAGCCTGCGCCAGGAGCCCCAGCACCCACATCTCATTTAACCCCATGAGCCAGGGACGCCTGTGTCTCAGCACATGCCTGGGTGCTGACCGGCAACTGGCAGAGTCGCGGGCACAACCCTTCCTGCTAGAAACGTGCTGTGTCTGTTAGCTGGGGGCAGGGGGGTGGGCCTTCATGCAGTGGTCAGCATGCTGCTTGGGACAGCTTTGCTCCCAGTGGGAAGGCCTGGTTCAAATCCCGCCTCTGTTTGCAAGCTGGTTCTGCGTGTACACGCATGGCGCGGGAGGCGGTGGCTGAGCGCTCCAGGGCTCGGGCCTCTGCGTGCACACACATGGCGTGGGAGGCGGTGGCTGAGCGCTCCAGCGCTGGGACCTCTGCGTGCACACGCATGGCGTGGGAGGCGGTGGCTGAGCACTCCAGCGCTGGGGCCTCTGCGTGCACACGCATGGCGCGGGAGGCGGTGGCTGAGTGCTCCAGGGCTCGGGCCTCTGCGTGCACTCGGGACACATACTGCAGTTCTGGGCTGCCGCCTGGACTAAGCCTGGATGTTGCTAGCACTTAGGGAGTGAGTCAGCAGATGCATGAGCTCCTCTGCTGCTCCAGGCCTTTCACATAAATGTTAAAAAACAATGAATAAAACCTTCTTTTAAAATGGCTGTGAGCATAAAATACACCCAACGTGTATGGGGGGTGCATGAACCAGGTCATGGTGCCAGTGCAGGCTTGAGTCTAAAAGAAGTTGCTCTCAACAACAGAACACCACGGGTCTGTGCGTGACCCATGAGGCTCCTAACGCCCCAGCAGGACAGCTCAGCGTCCACACCCCACCCCCACTGGCGGGTGTGGACGGCAGTGGTGGACGGCAGTGGTTTGGGATTTCAAAGGCCAGTCAAATTTCAGAAAAATCTGGGCTGTGATTCAAGGCATGGCGCTTGCCAAGGAAGGAAATGTGAAGACAAAATGTGATTAATTCAAAACAAAACTTTGGCCATCACCATTATTTTTAAAAATGACTGCAAAAAGGTAGGAAGGATGTAACCTCAAAAGACTCTCCTTTAAATTACATGTTAGTAACTTGGGAATTCTGCGAGATTTCCCTCTCCATAAGGCACAGGCTTCAGAGAGGTGGCAAAGAGATACTGAGGAGAGACTGGCCCATTTCTGGGATGCAGACAGGCCAATCACCTGGCTGCCTCACAGACACCCACTGGCACAAAGTCCAGGAGCCAGGCTCTGATCCCAGAGCCCCGAAGCAAAGAAAACTGTCAACGTGAGGAAGTCCACACGATGACGATGATGACGGTCGCTAACTTCTCAGTTTACACAGCAGTAGCAGATCTGAGATCCTATCAACAAAGAAGCCAGGAAGATGGCAAGGCCAGCGTTTGGAAGTCTTTGTACTGTAGGGAAGAGGGGACCGCGATCGGTGAAGTGCAGAGGTAGCCAAGCAAAACTTATGCGTTAGACTTTTAGGACGATTATGAAAAACAAGCAAGTTTTTTTTTCACCTGGACCGCAAGAAATCAAAACGCAATTGCTTAATTCAAAAGATGGCAGCAAAAAAACGGGAGAACTCCAAAAATGTCAGGGTCAATATATTAATATAGAACTACTGGTCTCTTACATTTACTTATTGGAGAGAGAGCCTGCACACATGGGTATGAGCACACCCACTTCCATCTGGTAATTCACTGCCCAGACACCTGTGACGGCTGGGGCTGGGGGAGCTGGAAATGCAGTCCAGCTCGCCCGGTGACGTTAGCCATCGTGGCTGTGGACCGGGGTGAGGAGGCACAGCTGGACCTGAAGCCCAGTGCCACAGTGGGGGATGGCGGACTCCTCGCTGCTAGGCTAAAAGCTCACTCCTAACCACCATTCATCTCAAATAGCAAAGGTCCCTGGAATAGCCCAGAACATGAGGCTCGGGGTATGAAAGAATCTTTTCCTGGTAACTTGAGAGCCACAAGCAGGCTGTGAGAGATGAGGTCAGGCTTGGGAGGGGAAGGGAAGGCCAGTTGCACTCCCCGAGCACAGATCTGCCAAGACAAGTCTTCAGGCTCCAAACTGGAGTCAAAACTCCCGGCCAGCTCAAGTGTGCTGTGACTCCACTTGGTCTTTTTAATAAGTTTTCTAATGCCATTTTTCACCAACTTTTTTTTTTACTTTTTAAGATTTGTTTATTTGAAAGACACAGTGACGCAGAGAGAAAGGGGGACCTGTGCCATCTGTGGGTCCACAACAGCTGACGGTAGGTCGCGCTGAGGCCGGGGGCCCAGACTCCAGCCAGGTCTCCCACATGGGCAGAAGGAGCTCCAGTGCTCGGGCCATCCTCCACTGCGACCTCAGGTGCACAGCAGGGAGCCGGATGGGAATGGAGAGGGTGTTCAGCATGGGAGGTCTACATGGCAAGTCGTGGCCTAATCTGGCTGCGCCCCAATGCTGGCCAGAGTCTGCTTTCTGAAAGTACTAACCAGGATGTTTCGATAAGGATGTGGTTAGTGATACGACACAAAAAAATGCATTATGTGATTAAGTGACTAACATGGTGACTAACCACAGCTAGGGCCGCCAAGTTATTAGACAAGTCAGTAAAAGAGAATGTAAGGGAATGGAATAGGACCACGGCTGTGTTACTCCAGCTGAAAACATGATAAACTGTAACAATCCCTCAGCAGCAGACTTCAGAAATTTCTCCAGGTGGATTTTAAATAAATGCAACCCTTACAAGAAATAATGCAAATGTCAAAAATATCCAGCAGACTGCCCGTCAGGTACAATGAGACCAGCAAGGGCGTCACTCCCTGCAGGGCTTCCACTGAGGTGTCACCACCGTGATCAACAAGTCCAACACGGGCTGCCCACGGGGTGGCGCTGCCCACGGGGTGGCTCAGCCCACGGCGCACACAGCCAGCCCTCTGCTGGTACTGAAGCCATCACAATGACCAATCGTGGCTCCTACAAAGAACACCGCTGTGAACGCTCACTTGTGTGCCGCCCCGGGAATAAAGAGGGGGGTCATGTGCTAACTGTACGGTCAACCTTGGGAGAGCTCATCAACCAGCAGAGTGCGAGCTTCCCGACTTCTCTGTGTCCTGGCCTTCGCTCACTGAGGCCTGGTTTCTGTATCTCTGGGTTCTGATGTGCACTGCCTAACAATTAATGATGCTGACGCATTTCATGTACTATTGCCAGTAATGTGTCTTTCTTGGGGAAATAAGTGGCTATTCAGATGCTCTGCTCATTTCTCCACTGGGCTGTTACCGACTGGGCTACAGTTCTCTGCATACTCTAGATGCAGGTCCTTCATCAGATCCAGCCATTGCTAATATTTTCCCCCACTCTGTGGGCAGTTGTTTGCTTTTACAACACTGACCAAAAAAAAAAAAAGTCTTAAATTTTGAAGTAGTATCATTACCCATTTTTCTTTTGATGCTTTTGGCATCTTTTCCACAGAAGACAAGACTGCCTGAACCAAGGTAACAGGGGTGTGCCTCCCAGCTTCTCTCCTCCTGGGAGTGTCCCAGCTTCGGCACTCCCCTAGGTCCAGGGGACAGCTTGAGCTCATTCTTGTATATGTTGTGGGTGAAGGATCTGACTTCCCTCAGGACTATCTGCTGAACAAATCTTTCCGATGGAGCCATCTTGCCACCTTCTTCAAAAACACAAGCTGCTTTGGGGAAGGAATTGGGGTGCAGCACGTTAAGCCACTGGCTGGAAACCCCAGACACTGGATTCTGATCTAGCTTCCTGCACAGTCTGGGTGGCAGCCATGTACCGGGGTCCCTGTCACCCATGTGGGTGACCAGGATGAAGCTTCTGGCTCTGGCTCCTGACTCCTGCCTCCTGGCTCTGGCTCCTGCTTCCAGCTCCAGCTCTAGCTCCTGGTTCCTGGCCTCTGGCTCCTGGTTCCTGGCTTCTGGCTCTGGTTCCTGGCTCCTGGCTCTGGCTCTGGCTCTGGTTCTTGGTTCCTGGCTTGGTTCTGGTTCCTGGTTCTGGCTCTGGTTCCTGGCTCCTGGCTCTGGCTCTGGTTCCTGGTTCCTGGTTCTTGGCTCCTGGCTCTGGCTCCTGGCTTGGTTCTGGTTCCTGGTTCTGGCTCTGGTTCCTGGCTCCTGGCTCTGGCTCTGGTTCCTGGTTCCTGGTTCTTGGCTCCTGGCTCTGGCTCCTGGCTTGGTTCTGGTTCCTGGTTCTGGCTCTGGTTCCTGGCTCCTGGCTCTGGCTCTGGTTCCTGGTTCCTGGCTCTGGCCTCAGCTCCTGGTTCTAGTTCCTGGCTCCTGCCTCCTGGCTCTGGCCTCTGGCTCCTGGTTCCAGCTCCTGGTTCCTGGCTCCTAGCTCTGGCTCTGGAGTGAACAAATTCTGTCTCTTACAGGAACTTGGAATGTGAGATAGCAGATGCAAGATTTTTTTTTCTCTCTCTTCCTTTCTGCTGCTCTGCTTTAAAATAAATCATTTTTAAAGATTAGAGCGTTTCAATACACATCTGAAGAGTTACTATTCTCGAGTCTTGCTATGGGAGATTAGCACATTTAATTATGTGTTCTCTGTCAAGTATTGGGACTGGAGGTAAGTCCTGTTGAGTTAGACTGTAGAAACACCTGGAGAGTGCAAGATCCAGGACTAGGAATGGGCCCAGTAGGGAAACTGTGGGCACCCCTTGTTGTGGGTTGGCCCTTGTTGGGTCAACCATGG